CCCCCCCCACCACCGCCACGGTATCCACCGGTTCCTTCAACGATTGGTTGGTCTTTTTGATAGCAGCCACGTAATGATGAGATAAATGAGTCGTTTTGGGCTCAAAAAAGTCACTGAAACAAAACGAAAACGAGGAGTTCGTCGGGACTTACTTAAGTGGCGCACATTGTTGGTCGGACGTGACAATCCGTCATCTTGTCGGCGCTGGCGGGAGGGGCATTGGACCTGCCCGTAGATCACTGGTCATGGCGGCGATGGGACTCGAACCCCCCGACATGATATTCTCGGTAGCAAAATTGCATTCCTTGGCTTCTGACTACATGGCCTTCAGCAGTAGTAGCACAGAGTCCTCAAAGGAGACAGCAGACAAGTGGTTCAGTTGAAAACACGCTGGATCCCGCAAATCCCAGTTGTTACCAGAGGGCAGTATTTTTCTCTTTCCCCTTCCCGTTTGTGTTTATTGGCGTAAAGGAGAGCGTTACGTAGCGTCAATTACACAAGCTGTATCGCACAGCAACGCCTACATGTAGGGTCTGAAACAAGGGAACTAGTCTAGGGCAGCACACGTCGAACGACCCCACACAACCAACAAGGCAAACATCCATCCACCCGCGAACAGCGCGTCTGCGACACGCCCGAGCCACGAGCAACAGCTACGCACAGAGTTTTCGATTGTTGCATTTACCGAGCTCGACCATCCAAACCTTCCCAATACCAACCAACACAGACACAGTTCTTCAACCCGTGCTTTTCGTCTGCAACCTTGCACATGTCCCAAAACACAGCAGCGGCAGCACTTTGCACACAGTACAACAGCACCGCGGAAAACATGTTTTCCCCTACAGTGCTTGCTCGGCGGCAGGTTGCTGCGATTGGTCTCCTTCTTCCCCTTGGCCTTCCTCTTTCTCCTCTACCGGTGTTGCTACATCGTTAAATCAGCGTCAGGCCCGGCGGATTCGGCGTCGGTTTGTTGTTGGGCGGGCAAGGCGTCTATCTCCGCGTCAATGTCGAACTCTTGCCCTGCTGCTGCTGCTGCTGCAGAAGAGTCGTCGTCTTCTTGGTGGTTTTCGTCCTCGGCCGCGCCGAGCCCTCCCCATGCCACGAAGCCGATCGTTGCCTTGCCGTCTGCCCATAAAAGAAACGACATGAAAAACAACGTGAAAGGGAGAAAGTGAGGGATGAAGTCGGGACACGACAAACAAAACGCGACTGTGAAGAATCAAACACACTGCCAACGTGGCTCAGGACGAAGGAGCAACATCGACCCCAATCAACCGTACCATTCTGAAAAAGGGGCACCGTGGTTCAGAATTCGTGTCGTGGTGGGCCACTCGGCCCCTTCCCTCGGACGTTCACGAACACCGCGACAGACGGCATGTCAGTCCACACACCGAGGCAATCAACGAACGGCGCGGGAAAAGCGACGATAGCTTGCATGCGCCCGTTTACCAACGACCTTCAGATAGGTGCAACGCTGACATGCAAACTCGTACGTATATTTCTGAAACATGTGGACAACAGGTGTGGCTACCATCGACGTTCTCACCCTTGGCCCCCCTCCGCTTGCTCGTTTCGATACCCTCGATGCGCACGGTGATCAAGTCACCGGGCTTGGTCTTCTTGGACAAGTTGACGAACTTTTCCCCTTCCCCCGAGTTGCGGATCTTGCTCGCGCGGAGCACCGACAACTGAGCAAACATCACGTCCACCAGAAGCATCGACTCATGCACCTGCGGCAAGAGAACACAGTAGGAACACGCCGAAGCACAGGGCAAGAGTCGCGGGTCTCGGCATGGCGTCCGGAGGAGCAGTGAGGTAGGAACACGTTGGTGGAACGAAGCCCCACAAGACAAAACCTCAAGCCGCGCGTACGCCGTACAGAGGACCGGTTTTCAGCGGGCGCCAGGGCGCACAGAACAACCAAGCACAAGAGAACAGCCGTCAAACATGAGGGGCAGTGGCGAAGAAAACCATGTATTTAGTAGCTCATACTCATACGATCGTGGAGCCCAAGACTACCGGCACCTATTGAACACCCGGCGCGCCACAGCTAGACATTCACTTGGGTGCCACACACGTTGACTTGGGGGGAGAGGCTGAATAGGTGGGTTGCATAACCGACAAGTTGCTCATGATTTGCTGGAGCCATGAAGCTGGTAGACACCCGCACCACGACACCGAGAAATCTGGCCGATCAAGGTCTAAAGGTGAAAAATAATACTCGAGGCGGTGCAACCAAACGACGGATACCAGCCACCGTGCGCCGTCGAGACCCAACTACAACGCTTCTGTTGAGGCTCGAGGAAACTCGCGGAAAAGACAATCGACCTCTCAAGTGGAAAGGTTAGGCGACCTTTAGACAGCAAGACAGCTTTCCACGCCCTCGGAGAAAACCCGCGTGCTGCTCTGGCTACCCAAATGTCGCCTCTAGAGCAACAATCTTGTGGCTATCAAACTGTCAAACGTACAAGACATACAGCAGCGATGCATCTGGTGCCATTGCAGAGGTTCTTCGTTTCTTGCAGAGGCACAAAAATCATTCAGGGAAAGACAAAGGTTGTACCTCGCGGACGTATCCCTTTACGATGTCCCCCACCGCGTGCCGTCTTCCCTTCTTGTGGAGGCGCTCTCTTCGGCTGTTTCGCGATCGCTGCCGCTTCGAGTCGCGCAGTTTAAGGACCTGCATTATTCAGTACGCAGAGTTGGCCAATTGGTGGTACGAAGAGGAGCGTAATGGTGCACGGGAAACGACAGCGGCAAAGATCTCGGACAATAAGGTCGGCATCGCCGCAAGAGGGCCCACCGCGTCGCGTCTAGGACAACAGAACAGAGGTCAGGATACATCGAGCATTGGGGGAGAGACACCTGTGCCGGCAAGGGTCGTTTTTCCACAGCGACAAGTCTAGCACAAGCCTGGTGTCATCGCTGTCTCTTAGCAGTAGACCGCCTACTCCACCCGCACGCAGAAGAACCACCAGCCTACAGCCGCACATCGTGATGCCATATACTAAATGATAGTACATGTAGCACGGGAGCAGTGCTATAAAACGATAGGAACAAGTGAAACATTTCGGCCAGCCAGAAGCTGACACCCACCAAGCCACCAGCTAGACACAGCTGCGTCGGCAGGCGAACCAGGCTAAAAGAAAAAAATGCAAACTGGTGTCGTCGAAACAATAAAGCCTACCTTGTCCTTGTTGATGTTGGGGTCGAGAGACAGAGTCATGCGTCCCGCGTTGGGGAACACGTCCTTGACATAGGCCGTGAGGTGGATGCCCTTCTTTACCTCCACCTCGCAATCCTTGGCGCCGGGGGTGCCCTCCAGCGCGTACGGACGTTTGATATCCGTCAGGTGGAGGAACCCCGTCACTGGAACAATCTTGTTCTGGAAGATAAACAAATGTCGAGGGACGGCGGTGCGGTGGTACATGTGTTCAAAGGTTCAACCAGTTTGCAATGCCGGGTACGTGTTACGTCGGTGGTACGCAAATGTATTAGTACTACTGGGCAATGGAGGACAAAGAGAACGTGTTCTCTACCCTTTGTGTGGTCTCCGCTCAAGGCGTGGGCAACTTCGCTACCGCAGTACTCGTGCATTAAGGCAAAACAGGATCACCGAACGACACACAGGAGGAGCCCTAGTGTAGCCGGCGTACGTATCATGAACTAGGAGTAAATCGCTATCCGGTCTTTGGTCCATCTGCTCCCCCGTTTAAAAATCGAAGATGCATTACGCAACCCGCAATCCCACGTCCTTGTGTACTTCACGTGATCGGAAGTAACAAGCAAGATCTCGTAGCACCTTGATAGGCAAGCCAATCATGGCACCACCCGCAGCGGCTCATTCCAGGCAGGACACCCACCTTTGACCCCTGCCGAACGACGCTGCAGTCCACAAACGCAGCGAAGTTTGTTGTGTCCGCCACGTACCCGATAACCTTATCGCCCGTCTTCAGCTCCTTGATCCATCGCCTTCCCGCCTTGGCAGCAGCAACGCCACTATTCCGCTGCATTTTTTCCGTGGCCCCGCCGGTGTTGCCGGGAGTTGAACCAGCGGCAGCGGCGGCGCCGTTTGGACGGCTGGTTGCACCGCTCCCGTCATTATCGACCTCGGCAACAGCCGCATTTGATAGGTCAAGCCCGTCTGCTACGGACATGCTGGTTGCCCTGCAATGTCTGCTTTCTCTGCATGAGTGCTGCGGCGCGAATGCCATGCCGCCTGATGCAAGGAAGGCGTGGCAAGGCGGCGCTCCTCCGCACCTGAGAAGGGCGATCGTAACAGCCGCGGCAGCTGTAGTAACCGCCCATCTGCCTGCGGTGGTCATGTTGGTTGAAGTTTGCAGACACAATGTTCCCAGGATTCTCACCGGTAACCCTAACCCGAGAAAGAACCACCAGACGATGATAATTAGCGTAGGAACACTCTACCCGAGCGACGGCAGCGAGAGCAGACGCGTCCTGCGGCCCAGCAAGGCTGCGTTCCACTGCTGTAAAAGAGGGGGCACGCAGAGTATACATCCTACCTGCTGGTTGAGTCTGTAGGGCCCCTTGCTTCGGGAGTGACAGCAGAGCAGAGGTGTAGCACACACATACATCTCCCTCGGACTCACCGCCAGGCCGTCAGAGTGGTTAGCTTTCCCTTGCCGAATTCAGAAGTCATCTCCGGAGTCATCGACACCGTCACCCAGTCCCCACAACACTTATTGTCTGCTGTGGAGAACAACAGATCGGCAGGGGGGGGAGAGTACACACCCAGCCGAACATCTGAAACATGACGAGGTGCATCAGCATGTGTTTGGTAGCGATGGCAGCAGCGCCGCTGACCAAGGCCTTCGTGGTGCCAGGCAGAAGCCTTTCCGTGTCGGTGCTAGGACGCGAGGGCGTCACCCGCTCGTGCTCGAAGGTGAGCAGTGTTGCGGCATGTTTCCCCCCGGAAACTCTGTCTCTGCGGTGGTATCCTTGCCAGGCGCGTACGTAAACAGACCCGTAGACGTCAGCGTGGACATCCGGCATGTAGTCTGTCGTTCATGGAGACTTGCAATGCACACGCGTTTGCGGTCGTTCCTGCGACAGTAGCCACCAGTGTGTCACTATATTGTCGGAGTTAAGTGACTTGCGTCGGCACTGGTCCGGCCCCACTCACACACACGACTCCGTATCTACGTATCTACGCTTCAAAAAGTAGCTCCTGTTTGTGTGCTTGCCTCTTTCGAGACCGCAACCAAAGCGCAGTCAATAGGTCCAAAGTACTGCTGCGTAGCGTACACCTCGGAGTACATGTACTGGGACCGAACGCACTCAAACCACGCTGCCGTCGGCGAAACACGCATATGACCGCTAGAGGCGAATCATTGATTCAGTGTCGTTTTTCCCCCCCATTATCCACGTACTACCCTACAGCGGTGGATTCTGCTCTATCCGCACCATGACATGATCCCAAAGTTTTTTTTTTCTGGTACGAAAGTCTACAGCAGTTCGCACAGCAGCAGTACAATGAAGCTAAAAAGCTCCCGTGAGCACCAAACTTCGACGTTAGCGCCGTTGACGAAGGANTTCTGGTACGAAAGTCTACAGCAGTTCGCACAGCAGCAGTACAATGAAGCTAAAAAGCTCCCGTGAGCACCAAACTTCGACGTTAGCGCCGTTGACGAAGGAAAAGGGACGGCTGGACCCTTCTCGCGATAAAAATAAGATTCAGCACGCACCGCAGGAGGAAGGTGGTGCATGAAAAGAAAGAAGAAAAAAGCCCTCGTGATTACCCCCTCCTGTGTGACCCTGGATGGTTGTAGTTGTAGAAAAAAATACACTGAAGTGTAGTACTCTACATACGCTGAAAAAGTGTAGTACACGTCTCACCACGAAAAATGGGGGGACTGTCGACATAATAAATAGGACGAAAACACACACATACAGTACACCAAGAGCAGTGATGGATTGGGAGACAAGGGCGGAAGTAGATACCGTAACTTTGCGCGCGATTGCGCGTCGAGTTCCCTAGGCGGGAAACGAAGCTGTACACCGGCAGCACATAAAGAACGGGGTTTCGTATCCCTGTCACTATCCCTAGTATGTTGTACAACCAGCATTTAACGGTGGGCGCGCTCACAATCCGATGCTATCATTGTTTACACCAGCATCACGTCGTAGACAAACACTATTTTGACGGCTCAGCGACGTCCAGCCTCTAGCCGTTAGACCATTGACCTCGCATCCCTACGATGCCGGAACGAAGCGATGTGCATGGTTCCCGCCGGTCCAGGCTATATTGACGTTTCACAAGGTGAACCGGCAGCTGGTCATCATCGTTGCGTTTGCTGAGAGCCGAACCATATACCGTATACGACACAACATAACACACCCCCTGGACGGATTTCCAAAGCTCGATTACTCCACGACGAAGAGGATGCATGAACGAAATGATACATTTTCGAAAAGCTATCAACGAGACGGTTTCAACGCCGCCGTTTTCGGCGCTGTGACTGTTCCTGCAGTTGAGAAATCGAGCTTCGAAAATCGGTCAAGGGGGTGTGTTATTTTGTGTCATAAACGGTATGCCATGGGGCGACTTATGACGGGGTGCTGATAGTCGTGCATGCCGTAGTCATCAGACCGTTGACCTCGCATCCCTGCAAAGCCTGGACGGAGCACGCTGGTTTTCACATGACCAAGCGCGAAGCGCCGTGAGATATTCGGCCAGTCGCATGAAGGGTGCGCTGCATCCTGCTAAAGGTGTTCTGCATCGTGTGTTCACTTGCTTGCATACGGATGACAGCTGCGACTGACTTCATTTATTTGGTGGTGCTTCACATTCCAGAGACAGTTTTAAGCACTGTGTAACTTCCTCGAGGGTGCTTGACCAATTTTAACACAACGTGGTGCGATCATCCCCTGTGCGCGGAGTACGGGTTCTCGACCCTGCACAACATGATCTACTCGACCACCGCTATGGTTACCGCACTAAAAAAACAAAGGCATACAAAAAGCGGTAACCTGGTTGTCAAACTCACGAAGCAATCGGCGTGTTGTGTTTGAATGTCGTGGCCAAGCGAACAAAACCCAACCCAGATCGCATTCACCGGGAGGAAGAAGGCGTGATGTAATAGGAAGCTTTAGTTGCGGATCGCTCAACCAAGCCAGGCATTCATCTCACGTGACATGAACCCGTTCTGTTTTTTTTTTTTGTCTTTTTGTGCCCCCCCAAAAAACGCGCATTGTCGTTCGCTACGCTACGTACTGCTGTGCGTGGGGCACGACGGCGGTGATGCCACACGCTGCTGCTCTTGTAGGCCTCAGCTCGCGGCACCAGCAGCACCAGCTGTTGGATGACCAAGAAAGCGGAGACGGAAGGAGCCGAGGGAGACAAGAAGAAGACCAAGCCGCCGGCGTGGATGTTCAACGAGGACGGTGTTGCGTACGCCCCGTGGATGGTGGATGCCTTCGACCCCGAGGTGCCTTAACATTTGTAGTTTGATGGTTTCATGTATACAGATCGGGCCTGCAGTTTGGAAATGTTTCGTTAAGAAGCAGAGGCCCAAAATTTGATCTACACAACAACAAGGAATCTGGGTTAAGAACACACAGTTAGCTCAACGGTGGATCCCACTCTACACTCTATATGGAACCTGTGCTCGACAGTGGCGATGAAGTAAGAAACTGAGCCTCGACGCGATTGTGACGCTGCTCATGTCCGGACCCGCATTCGTTCGCAGGCTTTGCAGGATCGCTCTATTAGGATATATTCATACATCCAAAGAGAGACATCCAGTCAGATATTACCACAGTCTCTTCTGTTCCACAGAAACGTCACGATCTGGAATTCCTCTCTAACATTACGCCGGGTTTTGGGGGAGAACTTCGTACAAGAGAATCCGCCGGGTTGCCGTAGCGCTCTGCCTGGGCACAGGTAGCGGAAAGCAGCTTCAATGATGAGCGTGCAAGCCCTTGAATCTATCGGATGTTCACCTGCTGTCGAAAAATGGGAAACATGCGACAAGATTGTTTGCCCATCCGTCGCGTTCTCCGGCCCCAATCAACCTGCGTTTCCTGGTGGAACACTCAATGTCAGTCATGGGTACTACTTGGTTGTATCTGGTAATGACCTCTGTATGGGACAAAAGTGTGCAGATTACACTACACCAAAGCAAGGTTTCTGTGCAAGAAACAAAAATTAAAATCCCTTTCAAGCAAGGCTACGTACCAACACTGCTGTCTGCTTCGATATTTTTACAGAACCTGGCGAAGGTGGCAGCCTCGATCGAAGCTCGGAAGGAGAAGGAGGCCAACACGGTGCCCGAGGCGCTCGGGGCCCTTGCACGCGACCCGCAACAGGTACGTGTGTCGTCGAATCCAACGCGGAGGAGAGTGGCATGGGACGGGAGTGTGCCTTTCGGGAAGGATTCTGGCACCTGTGTTTTGTGTTCAGCCCTCTGAGGCCGGTAGCAAGTCAATATGCTGACTCGAAGGGAAGCACGATACCATGGTCTGTGTACCGTAGGTTGCTCAAGATCCCACACTCCCTGGAACGATATTCAAAGCCAGGTTACTCCGCAACGAAGGGGGACGTCACAATCAAACGTTACGTTTTCGGAAAGCCTCCCGACGAGAGGTTCCATCGCCGCCATCTTTGGCACCGTCACTAGCTTGTTTTTCCTGCAAAGTAATCGAGATCTATATATGCATATATATACATCGGTGACGGGGGCGTGCTGCGCTCGAGTGCCTTTCGCTGCAGAGTTGTCTGTCTCGAACCATTCCTCCCAATACACACGCATGGTTTCATCGGTCAGCCGGGTGTGCGCGGTCTATGCTAACGTTAAAGTCAAACACACGTACTTTCGCGTTGTTTTCCCCGCTGCCGTTCAACCTATTAGGTGTACTTTCCTTAGGCGGTTGGTTTGCGCGGTCGATGGTATGCAAAGAGAAGATACACCAAAAACGCACCACCTCACCCTGGTTGATGGCCGTGTCTCTCTAAATGCAGATGGAGCTCTCAGGCGCAGGCCTGTCTGCCAAGAGGGTGTCGGATGAGATGGTGGAGCTAACCTGGAAGACAGGAAACGAGGAGGGAAACGTCGGTTTCATCGTCAGCAGGAGGGCCGCTAAGACGGACGAGTGGCAGGAGATCGCATCGTACAAAGACTTCCCCCCACTCAACTCCAAGGGGTGAGAGAGCCGGTAGACAATCGGCAGGCCGGGGTCCGGAATTCTGCTTGCGATTTGCCGGTGAAGGTGGTGGTGCGTTTAGAGCCCCGGAATGAACAAGGTACCACTGCAAAAACATTGAACAAAGAATCGAGCTGTGGTTGGTCGAAGACCAAAAATAATGCCGTTCGGGGTTTCCGGCAGAGCGTAACTTCGATTTCCTGCAAATGAAAAACAAAAGTATTCAAAATAAAAAAACATAAAAAATCAAAATCATATTTGTTCCCCGGCCAACGGGGCCGATTTCGATTTCGATTGTTGGCGCTTCGGTAATACAGGGCCTTAGAGCCGTTGTAGGGCTTCCGTGGAAAGTTTGTTGTTCGTGAAGGGTGTCCCGTGCGTCATCAGGGTTCCCACCCGAATGATCGCGGTTGTGTGATGTCGAGGTATTTGACGTCAAGGCAGGCAAGCAGTTCCGTTCTACTTCCTCGGGAAAACGAGTATTTTGCGACCGCAAGAGCAGCAGGCAGGGAGGGAAGGCTCAGCCCGTATGGGTAGCTCGGTGATGATCAACGCACGAGAGGGTGCTAATCGGTTGTGTATCAACTCAAAGGACTCGTAATCTAGTCTCGTTGGCCCCAATTCGGGACCGGGATGTCCCTTTCCTATTTGGAAGGACAGCAGAGTCTACCGGCAAAATGTTTCTGTGTTAGATGACAACTGACGAGTACCAAATTGGCGCGTTCGTATGGTTTGCACATGTTGCGGTGATCTGTACAGAAACACCCGCTTGTTTGCGTCAAATTTGTGTCGATGGTTTTATTCCGAAAAGAGCGAAGTCCACCTTAGAACGAGTCCCGAACCTTACATGGTGCAGTGACACTTGTTTCATCAATTCTGTAACCACGATATTTATTTGAGCACATAATTAGGTTGCTTGCGTCAAGGTTCTCGCAATCGAAAACAATACCTGTAGTTTCCGGAGCGTGGAGTGCACGCAGGGTGTTTGGGAAGGAGCCACGAGGGTACCAGCAGAGATTGCGAGAGTGTCTTAAAGGCACCGTACGCCACAAGACGGAGAGCGCCGAATGACCTAGCCAGCAGGCGTCGAAATGCATCCGTGCTCACTGGCGCTCACCCGTGGCAGCGCCTCGACCACATGGTCTTATCTCGCGCAGCCACCACATCTGTAGGTCATGCAATGGCGGTGTTCACCCCCGTCCTTCGCCTTGCTTACTGTTGGCGTCGGGGTCCTGACGTGCGTTTCGTCCCTTTATCATTTTAGCAAGTAAACATAACCTCACAGAAAGACTACCCGTTCGAGATACTCGTTTTTCTTGTTTGTTTTGCTGGTGATACAGGCCGGGGGGCGGCGTCTACACCTACGCGGACGACAACGTTGAGTTGGGAACATGGGTGTACAGGATATCCGACATCAGCAAGTGAGGATAACTACCGGATACTGCTTTTGCTGCTTGCTGTTGTTGTTGTTGTTGTTGTTGTTGTTCTTGGCATTGAAGTTGACATGGTGGTGTATGTTACCGCTGATGCAGTTGTTCTTGGTATTGTTCTTGTTCTTTTAACATTGACGTTGACATGGTGGTGTATGTTACCGCTGATGCAGTTGTTCTTGGTATTGTTCTTGTTCTTTTAACATTGACGTTGACATGGTGGTGTATGTTACCGCTGATGCAGTTGTTCTTGGTATTGTTCTTGTTCTTTTAACATTGACGTTGACATGGTCGTGGATGTTACCGCTGATGCAGTTGCTACCGTTTGTGCTCATATGGCGATGACATTGGTGGCAGCATACTCGCACCTTTGTGCTGTCTTCGCTGTTGCTTCTCCAGTTGGTGGTTGATGCACCGAAAGTGTTCGCCATCAAGTGGTGCGTTTCGCTCACGGTGCATTTTTCCACGCCGACCTCACTCGCATCCGTCCATCCACCCTGTCGCAGGAGCGGTGTAAGGAGCGACCTTTGCCAGACGCTGATCGAGTTGCAGAGCGGCGCCGACGAGTTGCAGGTGAGCAATATTGGTGGCCCCACACGCGTGCGGGAGGAGAGAGAAGTGGCGCGCTTAGTTTCTGCCTGCCTTGAATGATTCTGTTGACGGGGTGCTACCTCGGGAGGGAGCGCGGGAGATCCATACGTCTGGGAGGGGCATTGACTGTCTATGTTTTGCATGCCTTAGCGGTAAGACCATTGACCACGCGTCCTCGAGAGGA